GAGAAGAAAAACATTATAGGGATAAGGCGTCTCAAAGCACTGGAGCAAAGAATCTGGGATTGTCTGGGCAAGAAGGAATCTAGAACTGGGAACAGTTGGAGGTAGATAAGGATTCTGAAAAATAGCAGGGCAGAGTGAACCAGTTGGGCAGGGAAGCAGACAAACTAGCAGTAAACTGAGGGTGGGGTCACTGTGCAAAGGATCAAGGACAGCAAGCCAAGGGGAGAGAATGGGGCTGGAGTTGTCTGGGCAAAGAGATTGGAACTGACAGCTAGTAATGGAAATGGTTGGGGGAGGGGGGACAGGGGAGGAAGGGGGGGTGTCTGGGACTGGGATGAAAAACCTGAAGAAGTCTGGAACTATGTAAGCAAGAACAATGGGATTGTTACAAGGAACCATGGGTGGACAAGAGATATGACTGGAAAAGTGACAGGTTGGGGCCTAAGAGGTGAAGCTGCTTAAGTGGAATAGTCAGAAGAGCATATAACCGTTTGATGACTTTGTGCAAAGTCAAACACTGAAAAGTTTGATGTTAGAAATGTCAAGGTTAGAGTACTTGGCTGCTGAGTATCCAGTCACTAGTACAGGGACAAGTCAGTTAAACTTGCCAAACTTTTTACAGGTTATCACAAATTGTGTTTTCCTCATTTTCTGGATAGTGACTATCCATTAGGCAGAATGCTCACAGCTGCAGAAGTAGTCAGGTGGTGCTATGCTGTACATGATAAGGACTCTAATACATCAGACTCCAGGGCTCTGAAACAGGGCACCTAAAATGAGCAGCAAAACTTTTTGCCTTAAATCGCTCCATGTCTCAATTCCCCGTCTGTAAAATGGGGATAATATCCCTTACCTTACAGGGGCATTCTGTGGATATATTAATTTCTTTGAGGTGCTAAAATAAATTGTATCATAGAAAACTGATGAAAATAAGTTTGCCTACAGAGCAGGGTTTAAATAATGTACAATTAATAATGTATAGGTTTATAAATTGAACAGTGAGGATAAAACAAAATACTGAATTACTGATCATCAAGTGAGCACTGCCCATCCCATGCACTGAATGAAACAGAGGGCTTGTGGAAAAAATAATATGTAATCATGTCATTAAACACTGTAACTAAACACTATACAGTATGTACACATTGAGGCTGAATTAAAGCTGCACAGGCTGTCACCTTAATTCCTTAAGTTTTCAGAATCTGACTTTGCAACCTTACTAATGTCTTCCTTAATGTAGTTTCTCAGATCATATTCTGTTTAGAAAAGATGCAATTCACATGATGAATATTAATAAAATATCACATATCCACTTTGTGTTTACATGCTTATTTATAGACCCGTATCACCTATGGTGCCATGTAAATAATTACTAACAGCAATACTATATACTGAAGTAACATTTCTATGCATTTTATATCCTTGTGTCAAATCCTATTTGTTCTAGTTATTTTGGTAGTCCTTCACTAGCTTCATTTTGACTATTTATGTAAAATAACCTCACTCATTCATCTTTATCTTATATTCCATGCTTTTTGGACAGAATTTAAACAAATGTTTAAAGCTAAGTAGATCCTTAAGTCCCACTAAAAGCAATGGGATTTAAGCATCTGCTTAGTAGTAAGAACATGCTTTCAGTGCTTTCCTGAACAGGGATGGATTCAAATATGCATTAAAGTGTTTCCCAGTACTGAATTCAAGCTCAATCACCATCTTTTTTTTTTTTATTTTGAATTTTTTAAAATAAATGAACCTTCCTCATAAAAGACTATGCTGCCATTTTTTTTGCCCTGAAAAGAAAATAAGTATAAAATTCAGAGCTTTACCTTTTCAAAATTAAACAATTTTGGTTTCATGTTAACAATGCATATTGAGCAAAAATAACAGCCTAGGTTATTTTCCCAAGTGAAGAGCTGGCTTCATAATTCATTTTACAATCATCGGAGTGCACCAATCTTGTTTGACTCATCTTTTATCAATATGTAAATTATTTAAAAAAGTAAGAAGTATTGTACAGTAGAATGCTCATGACGTTACACCTGTTTGTAAAATCCCATTCTGGAGAGAATGACTATATATGGAACTTTCTAATATAAGAGAAGAATATTTATTCTTACACCTTTAAGCAAATATGCTTAATACTTGTAAGTATCAATATTGGCTACAGTTTTCTTATACAAGATATAACACAGGAAAGCTATGGATAAGGTGAGACTCATGTTTCTGAATTTAGATACCTTGAATTTTAATCTCACAAGGCCCTTCTACTGAAAAACATGAATAAACTATAAGTGAATGTGTACTTAAGCATCTTGTGTAGAAGTGCCCTTAGTGTATGATTTGCAGTACAGTTTACATTTGGTTTGTATACTTCATTTCTGCACTATGAAATTTCATTTTATCATGGGAATGTTTGCACAGTAATGCTAAATATGATATATTTGTACAATGATTGCAATTTAAAAGTTTTTATATGCTTTAAATAAAAACAGATATTTTATGTGAGATACCAGAGTTTTTTTCTATTAAAACTGTGGATGATTGGATATTCTGTGATGCGGAACAGTGTGCTTATCTGTTGGCATAGGTCAACCTTTTACTGATGACTAGGAATGGACACACTATGTCTGCACTGAGAGAGAACTGTTTGTGTTGAGTACTTGAGCAGTGGATGGATAGCGTAAATTTAAGATGGTAATGAGCAATGATATTTACATTAGATACTATGGTGATGAGCACCATACAAATCTGAACATGGTTTACAACTTGTCATAATATATATTGGGTTACCTTGGATACAAGACTTGCTCTATATGCAGCTAACTGCTTCAGATACTCCTTCTTTGCAGCTTCAGTTTTCTTTTTGTATACCTATGAAAAATAGAGAGTTATAATTAATCTGTTTTTGTTTCGATATATTACCAATCTGTCTCATGCTTCTTTATAAAGCCATTCTAATTAAGCAGCCATTCCTTCTTCTCCAGATTCTTTAAAAAGGTGGGAAAAAAGCAAGTAAAACATCAAACACTTAAAAAAAAAAAAAAAAAATTCTGCTCATGTTGCGAGAAATCCTTTCCTCATACAGCAATACAGGTATCCGAGGTTAGTAAGAACCTCCTTATTACCACAATAGTTTTAGTTATTCTAAATGATATTTTCAGACTGGACTGCTAGGGGTGGAGTCTGTAGCTCCAGATTGGCAGATCAATTACCTTACCTTACTCTAGCACAGTGATTCTCAACTAGGGCCCCCTGGGGGTACTGCAAGGTATGAGG